AAGAGAGGTAAGGGGCACCTTACAAACCTCTGAGTTTGGGGGGTGGGCAGAGAGTGAGAAAACCTAGATTTGTGCTGGAAATGGCCCAACTTGATTATCATACACATTGTAAGGAGAGTGATCACTTTAGATAAGCTATTACCAGCAGGAGAGTGGGGTGGGAGGAGGTATTGTTTCATGGTCTCTGTGTATATAATGTCTTCTGCAGTTTCCACAGCATGCATCCGATGAAGTGAGCTGTAGCTCACGAAAGCTCATGCTCAAATAAATTGGTTAGTCTCTAAGGTGCCACAAGTACTCCTTTTCTTTTTGCATATATCTTCAGGCTCCCCCACTACTTAACACAACACTCAGTGATTTCAGCTCCTAGTCAGTTCAGCTCTTTGGTGAATTCAGCTTGTAGTAGGGGAGCCTCAGTGCTGGTGCACCATCAGCCCAAAGTGAGCTCAGCAACCTATAACTAGACTCCTAATGGAATCAAAATTAGCTCTGATATTCCATAGTGGAGAGAAGAGAAGAGAAGAGAAGAGAAAGTGCAATTATCACATAAGGCCCTCACCAAGGGGCCCTTGCCATCAAGTATTAATACTTGTCCCCAGCCTCTCTCAATTCACAGAGTTTTGGAACCCATGGCCCTTGCCTAGCAAGTGCTACTCAGTTGATGGTGAGTCCCTCCATCATAACAAAAGGCCAAGTACAGTTCCCAGCACAGTTCCCATAATCAGGGTAATAACAATTTATTCTTCCTGTCCCAATAACAGAGACACTGGGGATCCCACAGCAGCCAAAGTGACCATTTGGGCAGCTATGGCCTCATTCTAGGCGGGGTGGGTGTGCCTATGCAAATGAGATCAGCCCCTGAAGTTCTTTTCCACAACTTGCCACACCTCACCACCACATGTCAGGGTGGAGCTCATCCTGACACTGCTTACACCTAAATCACATAAATCTCAGCGTGAAACCTCCTGTCATACTTTAGGTGGTAGATGGGCATTGGCCTTTTATCTAGATAGGACCAAGCAATTTCAGAAATCATCTACACTGTTCATCTGCACCACAGAGAGATCCATGGGTCCACGATCTCTGCAGAGAGACTTTGGAAGCGGATCTCCGGGTGGATCATCGCTTGCTGCGACGCAGACGATGCTCTACCCCCACCCCAGATAACAACACGCTCTTCCAGATCGCACGCAGCTGCCACAGCTTCAAGAGCATTCCAGTCTTGGAGATATGCAGGCCGGCTACGTGAGCCACAGCGCATCTTGTTGCTAAACATTATGCCTCAGTCCATGCCGTCAGCTCCGATGCGACGCTTGGTACCGGTGTACTGTCTTCAGTCTGGGACTCCGTTCCAAAGTTCTCTCCTCCCTGTGGGGGACACTGCTCAGGAGTCACCTGAAAGTGGAGGACGCACAGGGACACGACTCAAAGACGAGGTTACTCACCTTGTGCAGTAACTGTGGTTCTTCAAGAGGGTCTCCCCTATGGGTGATCCACTACCTGCCCTCCGTCCCCTCTGCTTTGGGCTGCCCTTTGTTGGACGTTTGGCTAGAGAAGGAACGGAGGGCAGTTCGCCTGTACAGCGCTATGTACCCTTGGGGTGACGCTGTATAGAGTGTGTGTGGGGCGGGGGGCAAACGGACACTGCTAATGAAAAATCTCCGATCAAGGACTTGAGGCGCATGCATACCTTAAGTGGAGCTCCCACAGGGACACACATCTCAAAGAACTGCAGTTACTACACAAAGTGAGTAACCTCTTCTTTGTATTGTCCTGAGAGCAAGTGTCACAAATACAGAGTCTTCCTCCTGTGAGCCGCAGCCACAGATCAATGCTGAGGGTCGAAACTTTAAAAGCGTTTCTGCCCTATTTACCATGCACTGCTGTTTCAGGGAGCAGGACCTCAAACCAGATTGAGAGGCAAAGTAGGGAACTTTCCTTTTGTTGTTCGGTCCTATGAATGTGTGTGAAATGCAGGACTTTTTAACCATGCCATTAGCTCTGGGCTCTTACTCTATAGAGTTTTTCCCTTGAGCATGGAGAATTCCCAGCACTATTTCATATAAGCCCAAAGGGAAATCTGGGGACAGCAGCACTATACTGTTCCCTTTTCCTGAACCCTCTACAAATGTGGGTTCAGGAAAAAAAGATTGCCCAACCTGTGTCAGTGTTTCCCCATGTAATTGACATAACTCTGATCAGTTGCAGCACGGACTAAGAGGGTTGCTCTTCCCCACATCCCCTGTAAAACAGAGAAGGAATCATTTGTTTATAATCTGTAAAAGGACTAAACCAGTGACCAGGCTGATTTTCCAGCAAGTGACCGGGTGCCAACGCTTAAAACAAAGATGGAGAAATGCAATGGCCTAACAATAGGCCTTATCAGCCCCAGGCCCCAACTCTTATGTGCTGCATTCAGGGTTAGACCACTAATGCTCACAGATCCTGATCAATGGGAATGGATTTTTTGTTGTTGTTGTTGCATTGAGAATCCTGTGAGCCAATTATGTTAGCGCTGCCCTCTTGGGTCTCCTGCATTTAAGTGACGAGTCCTGCTGCCCTGCCACTTTGCTGAGGAGGGCATGCTAGCTCCCACCTTGGCTACAAGAATCAGCCAGGTCTGGCAGCTGACTTTAGAATGATCTGAGAAGATGGTTCAAGGACTTAGTTCTGTTCATTGTACAATAGGAATCCTGTTTAATGTTGGTTGTGACACCCAGATTGTGATCAGGTCTCCTGTCAAGGTTGATTTTGCAATATCAATAGGCCCTTACTAGAAATAACCACGTTTAAATAAGATGGGGGTCAGCACCGTTCTGATCTGAGCACAGACAGGGCCCTGGGCTAGCAGCTGTTTCTCACACACACACACACGGAAGTAGTTAACAATTTTTAGCCTCATTTCATTTGTAATCATTTCCTCACACAGTAGCCCCCTCAATCACAAATCCAGCACGGTGTTGATTACAGATGCAATGGCAGTCACAGCCATAAGGGATTAAAGACACTTTCTGCAGAGCTCCCAGTTCCTCTGAACTTGCAGTTAGATCCAGCCCAGCTCAGGTAAAGGAAGAAGTAAATAAGTTACCCTGTACTTCCTGCAGCTGTAAACCAGGTCTCCCTGTTAGAAACTGCCCAGAATTAATATTTTCTTGCAGGACTGGCCATTTACCAACACTGTCAACTGTAATGCAACATCTGTTGACTTAATTTCCCACAGGCTAATTTCCCCCTCCCCTGCTTTTAATCCTCTCTTCTTTTGAAGCACTTTTCCCCTGAAATTGGACACGCTGGTTGCCCCGTGCAGTTCTGGCAGGCGAGAGCGAGTGTCCCCGTTCACACAGGCTTTCCCCGGAGCTGAAGGGAGACGAGTGCCATCAGCCCTATTTGATGTGTTCTTAACAACCTGTTGTGTCAGCACCACAAAAACTCCAGATGCTAAATTACAGGCTGGGCGTGGAACAAGACAAGGCTCGCACACTCTGGAATGCATCCCTCAGTCAGTTTTAAGCCATTAGTGTGACTCAGCAACTCGTTAAGAAGTATTTTATCAGACGCAGCTATAGACAATTGAAATTAGTGCAGGGCTCCTAGGTTCTAATCATAGCACTGCCCCAACTCACTAGTAAACTGCTCCGTACCTTGGTTTCCCCATCTGTAAAAGGGGGCTGAAAATGCTTGCCTGGCTTTGTAAAGCATTGTGAGCTCCACGGGTGTAAATACTAGAGACCCGTCCAACACTGTCTGCGCCTGCTTCGGTGGAAGGGAAGGGGAATCAGGCATCTTCCCAAAGGGACTGTGCAGAGCTTTCAGGGAAAATCACCCCATTCGTTTTTCAGGCAGCCTAGTTGTAGGCCAGCTCTGAGACCATCCAGCCCAGGTGCTGGGCAATGCACGATCGTTCCGTAGGGTCTTGTCCAGTTTTAGTTTCTAGAATCCAGGGCCATGAGACAGCAGCAAGTCCCAACCAGGCTCACCTCCATCCAGGCAGCCTCTGGTATCCCAACCAGAATCTAGTGGCTGCCATTCACTCCCTGGGGTCCTCCCCAAGGACACAGAGCTGGGTCCTGGGCAGTTAGGAAGCAGCTGCTCCCCATTTAGGAGAAGCTGACTGCTCTCAGCCTAATCTCTAAAGTAGATGTAGCTACCACCGTGAGAGGCACATTGTATTAGTGCCTGAAGTAATTCCTGCCTTTCCACCCCCCCACCCGTCCTCACTCAGCCAAGCCCTGCCTCATTCGCAGAGCTAACCTCTGCTTCTCCGTCAGTCCCCGCAGCCCCTTTTCATTTCCGTTGCTCCTCTCTGGCCTCCTACCAGATTGGGAATAAAGTTCTGATAAGGAGATGTCTAGCACTGACTCCAGTCTGGTGGCTGGGGTCATACCAGAGTCACTTAGAGAGGGACCACTCACATCCTGCACCAGCCTTTCTGGCAGCCATCCACTGTTGCAAGATCATGCTAAACATGGCATCCACTCTCACCACAATAGGTCTCTAGCAGGGTCACCGCTGCCCAGCTTTCCTGGCCCTTCCAGGGTGGAAACTGTGGTTACGCTTCCCCAAGTATACGAACTAACTGGCGCGGGAGCACTTTCTGCCTGTGTCTCTGCTCTGTTTCTCCTCGATGACTCACCTGGCTGCTGCTATTCCCAGTTTAGCACCAACAATGAATTTCATTAACAGGCTATTTATTTCCTTGGCTGTTCAAACACTGAGCTCTGCCACACTGCACTAAACACCTCCCCCCGAATCGGGACCACCTCCCTTTGCTACCCACTTTGCAGGATGAGCAACACTGGTAACTTGGGGAAGGGCAGGAGGCAGGGAAAGGTTAGTGGCATCTCTGCATCCCTCCTGTTTCACAGCCCCTTAGGCTCCTCCTCTCGCTCACTAACTTGGACTTGGACTGTCAAGCACACTGACTCTCACCTAACACACACCCTTCCTTCCCCTTGTCCTCCCCCGCTCCCTGCTATAAAGTAACTCGTGTAAAATCAGAGTAATTACTTAGGAAAACTTTATTTAAAACACCCGAGACGTGCAAGGCCTGAAGAATGGGAATTGCAGGATTTTAGGCCGCAGCCTCTCTCCATTTCGGCTGTCGTCTCCTGTATTAAAGCAATTTTCCCTTTATGATTGACATGAAAACACTGTTCCAAGAATGGAGCTTTTTAAACCACTTCAATTACCTGAGTGGGAAGGGATTTACCAGCACCTGGCAAACTCAGCTGCCACTTAGAGGCTTCTTGGCCCTTATCTAAGTAAATTTATGATCACCGACTAGGGCTCTGTTCCCCACCCATGCAGAGAGGGTAGAGCAGGTCTCCATATATGTGCCCAGCACTTGAGCTAACAGAATTAGAACAAATCTTACAACCTGAAGCTCAGGAATACACAGCCGAATCGGTTTCTTCTGGAGTACTTGAAAGTCAAAGTCAGTGGAGGTGCTGATTGCCTGATACCAGGCTGTGCAGAGCCCGTCTCCCCGCAAAGGGATCACTTTGGGCCACTGCAACACCCCTCCACCCCCAGCCGCCCAAGTGGCTGACAGTTCAGAAGAGGAGCCTGTCCATTTTGAGATGCCAATTCCCTTTCCATCTTTAATTTTTCTTATTTGACAGAGGGGGGCTTTCTTTGGCTAAGCATTAAAGATCACTCAGATTAAGTTCAGGCAGACTGTCAAACAGGTCACTGCTGAGGTCCTCATCCGACATGCTTCCATCCTCCTCCTTGGGGGTGCTGTCCTCCAGCTCCAGGCTTGGGGTGGAGAGTTCTTTGGATCCTACAGACACATTTCAGAGGAGTTAGCCATACTCTGAACTCTGAGGCTCAAGTCCTCATTATCAACCGATAAAAATGGCCCAAGGGTAAACTGCAGCCCCTGATCATGACCTCCCTGTAACTGCAGAGTGAGGACAAAGCTGATCTGCCGCTGGTTCGGAGTCACCAATGAATTTGAAGCAATGCCAATTCATCATCTACTCAGGCAAATGCAAATACAAGAAAACACATTGACAATGTGGGTTTGACTAATCTGTATTGGCATATATTTTTTAATCATGGCCCCTGCCTCTTAGCAGCCTTTGGGCACCCCTATTATAATCCCGACCCTGGCCTCTGGGTGCTACTAGGATATCAATATTTACTACCAATAATATAGGATAACTAGCTTCCTCTTATGAAATTATGCATGTTATCTGACACAGGGCTTTGCTGATCAATTGTTAAACTCAGTCCCTGGCATGTGCCTGCAAGTAATATTGGAGAAGGGAATTTAACCCCTTGATATGTCCTGGGGAGATTGCTTAGGGAACATCCTAACAACTGGACATATAACAACTGCATCTGCAAAGCAGCTAACTGTAGCAGCTTTACTAGTAAAGACTGACTCAGCGGGATTTGTACCTAGAAAAAACAGAACTCAAGGCAATTTCATGTACCTTAAAGCCCCCGTTCACGAGAATCTTAAGCATCTTACGGAAGTAGGGCATGAATTTCCTTTAAAAGAACATTAACCCCTTTGTTTCTGGAGCTGGGAATTCCCCTGAGGCTAAGTGTTAATGCAAACCCAAGGGTCTTTAACATCCTGAAACAAAGCTGAAATCCAAAGGGATATATAGTGTGGAAGATGAGCCTTTCAAAAATCGGTGATTTTCACCTTCCTAACCTCATTGGCTGAGTGTCAGCACCAAACCAAACATGGAGTGACATTACAAACTGACCTTCTGGCACCCCTGGGGAATGCTCAGTATAATTACTATTGGTAGTATTAGAACTGGCCCTCATATTGCAGCTTAATGTTACCCTAAAACAAGGCTGGAAGGGACGCTCAAACAACGGACACCATAGGGCACCACAGTTTAACCATGATCGAAGTGCTTTGGAGGCCAGTGTCACAGGCCCAGTCAAGCGCCCCTCTTGGCCACTCACCAGACTTTTGTAAGCCTCCAATGTCTAAAGAGAACCCATGTACTGTCCCTATCTTGGGGCTTCTAGGCTCACGCTCAGGGCGCAGACCCACTGTCTACCACACGATCCTGGGAGCTGTGATTATGCAGCCCATTGCCCAGCCCCTGGGAAACAGTGGTGGCCACTCAGGGTTTTCTTCCTCCTCCAACCCCCCTCAGCTGAAACCTTTCCTCTCCCAGAACGCCAGCTGTGGGGTGTTCTGGGTCTTGTTTACTTCAAGGGGCGTGTGTTAGGAGCAACATGCAGTGCACAGACACTTTGCAAAGGACTCTAATAGCACAGCTTGTTACTTAACTGCACAAGAAATACACAGATCAATACAAACAATAAACCCTATTTGCATTTCCCTGCCTCAGTTTCCTCACTACTAGACAGCTTTCTTTGGGCTAGGATCAGAGTCCTCTGGGGACATCCAGGGTCCTTCTGATGCAGTGCCTAGCTTGTGTTCTGAAACATGGAGCCTTCTCTTCCCACCCCACCTCACCTCTCTGACCCTGGCTGTTCTATCTCCTTACCCTCTCCTGCCCAAAACTCCCCATGTGGCTTTCAGGGGCTGTTTAAACTCCCCTGTTCTCACTTTTGTCTTCATCCTTTCCACTCTCTCCACTTCCCCCACTCCCTGCAGACAAATTGGGGAAAATATCTTCTGGCCTCAACTAACCCATTTTCATTCAGGTGTTTCCAGCTGGATAGGCAGCCATTAAATTCTAGCCACCCACCCCTGTCTGTAGTCTGGAAAGACCTGACACAAGCATAGCGGATACCATATATACATAAAGGCATTCCATGATACAAACATTTCTTAACAACTTCACAACTGTAATCAATTCATAAGCTGTGTAGATGGAGCCCCCAAATCATCACAACCAGCATTCTAGATTGCCCGTATCAGATTAGAGAAGAAAGCAGCATAAGATCATAGAATCATAGAATATCAGGGTTGGAAGGGACCTCAGGAGGTCATCTAGTCCAACCCCCTGCTCAAAGCAGGACCAATCCCCAATTTTTGCCCCCCCGATCCCAAATGGCCCCCTCAAGGATTGAACTCACAACCCTGGGTTTAGCAGGCCAATGCTCAAACCACTGAGCTATCCCTCCCCCCAATGCTTTGGTACAGGGGGGAAAGTGAAGTTCTACAATGCAGACTACAAACAGTCTCAATCTTTAGTACACAACTTTGACAGACTAGACACCAACATGCAAAGGAAAGCCTCTGGGTCACTGCATGCTAGAAGAGAAGGTCCCTCCCTCCTCAGGGCTGCCACTCAATAGTACAGATGTGAGAGGCTGCAGGGTGCTCTAGTTTATGCAAAATAATACTTCTGTTTACACAGCACCTTCCACCTGATTAGGCCTGACAACAGATCGACAAGGAGCCCTGGAAAGTAAATCTGTTAGCAAGTGGAGAGCTGGGATTAGAATCAAGAAGTCTGACTCCCAGTCCAATGCTCTGACCATTAGATCATGCTGCCTCCCATATTTAGATGCCAAATACATACACCTAATTTGGGTACGGCCTTCGGGCTCTTGTCAAGTTGTGAGTCTGACTTTAGTATAGGCATTACAAATACTGAAACACTTTTAGGGACACAAAATAGGGACTGGACGTAAAAAGAGATTCCCCTCTCCCCCCAAGGCAGTCACACATCCACGTTCCCACTGAAAACAACTATATTCTTAGGGTATCAAGGGCTCCTAAGCCAGCCATACTTCTCTTACCTTCAGGCTCCTTAATCTCTGTGGCACTAGAGAGCTCATCCGAGCTGACATCTGTGAGACTGAGCTCAGAGGCAGAATCATCACTCAGGGAGGAAGAAAATATCTCCTCTTCTCTCAACAAATCATTGCTTTCCACTAAGAGAAACACACCAACAAGCAGGATAAGCTCAGAGCTGAGCTCAAGGTTAAAGACCATAGGCCGGATTCCTCACTATCTTCATAGGCAATACAACCATTCTGGTTTCATAGCATCGTATTCCTACTCTGCACTGGTGTAAATAACGAAGAAAGGGATGGAGAACCAGGCCCTGAATCATGTAAATCGAGACTGGAAGTGCACTGGACACATGCTGAACACGCACTGAAGGCAATGCACTGCACTGAACTCTCCCATCTCTGACTCCATGATTAAAGACAAACCAAGCAGGATCATAGGTGAGATGAAGGAAACGGAGAAGCCAGCCAGATTCCTGACTATCCCCGACCATAATCACGTCCCAAGGGCAAGAAGTAGTTTATCTGGAGAGGGAGTCCAATAAAGCAACATTACTAGAATTCTCAGGACTTCCAGGCTCTCTGCTGCAAGCCAGGGAGCCGAGCCCAAGTTAGAGCCAGGACTTCGGAGGCTTTCAGGCAGGGAGCCTGGAATCCCTTACAGGGCATGGCTGCCCAGAGTCACGGACCCAGGAAGCCCCTTGCTCCCTGGCAGTCCACATGGTGGGGCTACCCCAGGGCCACAGACCCTGGAAGCCCTGGGCTCCTCAGGAGCCCACCAGCAAACCAGGCAGGTTTCTATTGGAACCCTGCTGTGATTTGATGAAAGTCTGTCAAACCCAAGGATGTTTCCAAAAAACATTTCAGGTTCAACAAACCAGCATTTGCCAACAAAACTCTATTTTGTCAGAAAATTCCCAACCAGCTCTACCCAAGAGGACTAGCATCACTTACTCCCATGAGCACTTTCCTTTCCTACAGGCTTAGTGTATGACTTCTCTTCCAAGGGCAGATTTTTCATTTGGTCTTTCAGGTCAGTGACCGTGGATCTGATTGAAACAAAACCAACACCACTGATTAGCTCCAGGGACAGAAACAGCTGCCAGGAGAGACACAAAATTCATTCTTTGGATTTTCTGCAATGAGGGATTTTGGTAAACTCATGGTTCAAGGTAGATTCAGCTCTGCTAAGCAACTCTTGTATGTGGGGTGTGGGGCATGGGGGGCGTGGGGGGCAGGGAGACCTGAGGCGTCTACAGAAAAGGAAGGGAAAGAGAATCAATATTTAATTACAGGAGAACTGCAATTAAATCTCATTATTGGAGATGACTCACTGAGTTAACAGAACATCCTCCACAGTGGGTTATTATAGTACAGGAGGCAAGTTTAGTTTCTGATGTCAGAACAAATTCATCAAGGAGATTCTAATAACAGAGCCATGCTGGACCATGAATGTTTTCACAGATATTTTCCACTAAGAACACTAATGGTTATTTATGGATTTTGGGGGGTAGGGGTGAATATAAGCGATTAACAGGGGTACCAGAAGAGAGAACAAGAAGTCAGGACACCTGGGTTCCAATCCCAGCTCTGGTACTGTTCCTTTCCTCATCGGTAACGTGAGGGATATCATCATCACATGCACCTTGCTGGGGTGATGGAGAGGAAGGTTGTGAGAATGAATTGTGTCTGAAAAGGGCTTTGAGATCCTTGGCTGGAAAGCACTAGGGAATGCCTAATGTTTTTAGTATCATTCCTCATCAATCTCCCTCAAAGGCCCAGAATCACCAGGAGAGACCTGGACACAGCTCCTTGCAGAGCCAGCCAGTGCTACATGTGCCCATCAGATGGGGCACTGCCGAGTGATGTGAAGGGCTCATCCCTGCAGAGGCCATGCATGCATCTCCAGTGTCCCAGCTTAATTCTATTTGCAATGCAGCAGAACCTCAGTTAGGAGCATCAGCATTACAAACTGACCAGTCAACCACACACCGCATTTAGAACCAGAAGTATGCAATCAGGCAGCAGCAGAGACCCCCCCAAAAAAGCAAATACAGTACAGTGCTGCATTAAACGTAAACTACTAAAAAAATTAAGGGAAAGTTTAAAAAAAGAAAGAAGATTTGACAAGCTAAGGAAACAGTTTATGTGCTTGTTTCATTTAAATTAAGATGGTTAAAAGCAGCGTTTTTCTTCTGCACAGTAAAGTTTCAAAGCTGTATTAAGTCAATGTCCAGTTGTAAACTTTTGAAAGAACCAGAATGTTTTGTTCAGAGTTACGAATAACCTCTATTCCCGAGGTGTCCGTAACGTGGAGGTTCTACTGTAGTTATACTCTGCCTTCACAGGCTCCTCCCATCCCATGCATTTTCAGGTGGATAAAAAAATATGCTTCACATCCTGCCCCAAACTGTGGTAAAGTGTTGCTGTTGGCTGTTAAGGAGCCTACCAGGTGCTATCCCAGTAGTGACAGCATTGCAGTGGTGGGTGTCACCACACTGCACACTGTTTGAGATCCTTCAGGATGAATGGCTCTATGCGATACTGCTTGGCAGTGACTTACCTGCTACATCTCTAGAGAACACAGGTATTTCAAATAAAGACCTTTCAGGAACAAATATTTAATAAATAGTCCCAGCCCTGCTGTATTGCAAAGGTCTTCAGTATCAGCCTGATGTTAATGAATGGATAGAGTGCTTCCCTGGGAAGGGAGGTCTGGGGCACACCATTGAGGGAACACTGCCTGCCAGCTGAAGGGGTACTTGTCAGTCCTGTGACACATTATCCCATTGTGGCACCTGGGTGCAAGGGAAAGAGAGTTAGAGACAGTGGCACACACAGAATCCCCAGATACCCCTGGGCCAGCTGGGTTGGAAAGACAAGGACACAATTAAAGGAACAGTAGCACAGAGCTAAGGATTACTGAAGGGGAAATGCTAATATCACCATCCTCTCCAGGGAAGAGGCCAGAGCATGCAAGGCCCAGCTGTGTGGAGATCACAGCCAAAAGGTAGAGTCCGTTTCCTTTCTCAGCATGATCCATTGTGGGAACGTGATAGCACAGGAAAGCAAGAGGAGAGCATGGAGACGCAGGGAAGGGCAGGGGTTTAAGGGACACAAGTGGGCGTCTCTTGAAGAGAAGAGGCCCCAGGCAGAAGGGAATTCCTGCTGAGGTGCTAGAAAGGGAAAGAACTAAAGGGGGGAATCACCACTTTCTGAAAAGCGCCAAGTGGGTTCACTCAGTGAGTGACAGAGAAGGAGCTTCAGAAGTCAGTTAGTGCCCATGGTAGAGGGTTTGTGGAGGGGGAACATGAGCATGCTTGCTTACACGCTGTCTATGCACTTGGACTAGAGGGCACAGGAGTGCCATGATTAGACATGGAGCCTTTCATCTCCAGGTCAACAGTGTAGGGTCAGCCCAGAATAGGAACGGCAGGAAGTCATTCACACTAGATGGCTGCTCTGTGCCTGTGTGAAGTAAATTGGGGTACTCAGTCTAGTTCCCAAGGTATACGTGTCTCCATCACAAACAGATACCATCACAACTAGTCCCCTTGTTAGCTGCCTCAGCAGAGAGACCAAAGACTGAATGGACCAAGGAGCCTGAACTCTCCATCTGCCCCTAGCTGGGGCTCCTCTCCCAGCAGTGGGCAAGCTTGAACTGACCTGCCCATGTTCTGGAACCTCCAGGGCTCGCAGTTTGGCACTTTATGCATCTAAAAGGGGAATGCCTCATTGGCCAAGGTGCTGGATTGCAACCCTGGCGATGGATGTTCTCTATCCACCACGCAGGTACAGAGACGGCTTCTCCACACTGCCTCAATAACAGGCCTCAATCGTGACCTGCAGAGGCCCCCTCTAGAAGCAAGAGGGGAATTCACCTTTGCCTTCTCTGAGGGCGCAAGCATAGGGTCTATTAGTGCTAGTTGTGATGTGGACACCTGCCTACTAGCAACTGAGCGGATATTCCCCACAACTCCTTTCACACAGGGGCACTGAGGAGTGGTCACACGGCAGTGCACACACTTGCGCCATTCCCACGTGGTTTGTGGTGAAATATTCTGCGGCTATACAAAGAGCTGCACTTGCAGCTGATGTGCTGAGCTCAGCGGGGTGAGGAATGCACCCCACATTGCCAGCAATGCATGGTGCGTGCACACATGTAGTGCCATATGTCCCACAAGACCCTTGGAAGGTACATTTCCCCTACTTGATGTGGCCGAGCTCCTGCTGGGTGCTCCGCGTCTCGAACCTCGCTTTGTCCAAGTCATCAGATTGAGCTTTGTGACTGTTCATCAAATCTTCCAGCATCTGTGGATGAGGGGGGACAGTCAGTCACTGCCAAAAGGGCTCCTCACAGACAGCTGCTGAGTCTACACAGCGGTGCTGAGCCCAGCAGAACATGCATGTGTGACTTGCTCTCTGCACGGGCCTGGAACAGCTTGGGGAAAGCACAGCTGACACAAACCATGCTATCCATGGCAACGAGCACTTCACCTTTCCTTTACAGTTTGGGGTGCTCAGATCAAGATGGGGTATAGCATACTGGAATCTGTATCCCTTGACCCAGCCTCCTTAATGGAAATTAGGGCTACACTATAGATCTCTGCTGTGCATGCTTGGCCCACAGACTGCATTTTGGCCAACCATAATGTATAAAAACACCAATCAGTTTGAGAATGTGCCACCAGAGTCTCTTGGGCAGCAGGTTATGGGGGCTACTTGTCCACAGGCGCCAGACAGTAGGTGGTTTCTAAAAGGGTTAGATGACTGCTGCTAGCTGAGAAGTATAGTCAGGTCTGATCATTAGCTCCAATGTATTTTAGGCCCTTCACAACTCTGCCCCTCCCTACTTGTCCATGTCTTTCCCACTGCATTATCCCTTCTCTTCCTCTGCTCTGCCAGCCTCAATCACAAATGTCTTCACACCTTACGCAGAGAATGCCCTCCCTGAAGTGACTCATAAGGGCACTACCTTTTGTTCCAAATCCCTCCAACTTCTGCAGTGACGCCTACAAGAAATTAAGCAAGTTCCGATGGCTATGATGGGGACAGTCAGAAACTCTTAGATATATATGCTGGCTTTTTTTTTTTTTTTTTTTTTTTTTACGAACATGAACACTTGTATATATTTTGAATATACTCTTCTCCCCCCACCTTTCATATATCATTTGTCTTCTTATACTGTTAGCTCTTTGGGTCATGGACTGTGTTTGTACAGTACCTTGCACAATGGCACTACAGCAATATCAATATCAAATAAAAATAAGTCATCCTCTGCAGACTGTTACCATACTAAAAAGAAAAGGAGTACTTGTGGCACCTTAGAGACTAACCAATTTATTTGAGCATAAGCTTTCCTGAGCTACAGCTCACTTCATCGGATGCATACTGTGGAAAATACAGAAGATGTTTTTATACACACAAACCATGAAAAAATGGGTGTTTATCACTACAAAAGGTATTCTCTCCCCCCACCCCACTCTCCTGCTGGTAATAGCTATCTAAAGTGATCACTCTCCTCACAATGTGTGTGATAATCAAGGTGGGCCATTTCGAGCACAAATCCAGGGTTTAACAAGAACTTCTGAGGAACGGGGGTGGGGGGTGGGGTGGGGTGTGTGTGCTAGGAAAAAACAAGGGGAAATAGTTACCATACTTCTTAGTTTTCACATGGCACCTAGCTACCCATATGACAGGTGTCTTAGAAATACTGTGAGCGCGCCAATATTGTTTGATAAACACTTAAATTATATAGGAAAGAGAATTGCTACAGTTGGGCCTCACTACTGAGTCTCAGTGTTTAATTTCATTAACGTGGCCCCTTATAAACAGGGATTGCAGTGACCCCTCCCATAATTCCAGGTGCAAACAGGAGTTGGTTCTATCCTAAGGAATAAATACTGAAATCTGAAGCACACTGGAAAACACAGTAATATCCTGGTGTTGATTAATGTAGCACCAGTAAACCTTTTAGATGCTGTTAACGCAGGAAGCCTGAGAAATAACAGCTCTGCCATATGGGAACAGATCATCAAATCCATGATCTTTTCTCCAGCCTTCAGAGGAAGATATAAAACTCCCATAAATCTCCTGGATAGTTTTACAATACTATCCAAAGAGAAGATATACTTTCTGCCCCCAACTGGTGATCAATATACGCCAGAAGCATAAGGATCAACAGCCAGTCATTTACTCTAGCTGCTTGCACTGCAGATGCTATTCATACATGTGCCTAACCCCTCTTTTAAGAATGTTACTTACAATTTTCCTATCATCTCAAAGCAGTGAGTTCCACAGGTTATCAAACCATCACATGCTTTAAAAATGCATGTAATGATTTTGCCTGGGGAAGGCGAACCTGTAAAGCTATGTACCTTGCAGTATCGACTTTGAGTTCTCTTCATTTCATCAGTTTCAGACATCTGAGTGACTAGATCCTCCTCCTGTCGGTCTGAGAAGGAAAGCAGTGTAACTTTACCTAGTGAACTGGGTTGGTTCTGGCCAGAGAGCTGAGTCAGAGCAGAATCTACTTCTGTTCTGTGTCTGATTTTTAATAGTCACCTTGGCACTCCCTTTCCTCCGGGCACATTCCAAAGCTCAGTGGGCACCTCTCATGCCAGGGCTACATTCTACTGAGGAACTCATGTGAACAGCAGGAGCAGCTGCCAGATCTCCACGGGACTCATATACAATACCCAGGTTTATTGCTTTCACAGATATATAATAGGCACAAATGGGGAAGCTGTTATCGACACGAAGCCCTTTACGTACAGTTCTACTGTGAAAATGACATTAGTGGTTCCTTGTTTATTGCCATTCAATGACTATATTCAACATGCTCAGTTTATAAGTAGTAAAAATGATGGTTATATTCCTTTCCCCTACTCTGTGTTTTGTCTCTTCAGATTATAAGCCCTTTGGGACAGGGACTGACTCTCACCATGTGTTTATACTGCACCTAACACAATGGGGACCTGATCCTTGTTGGGAACTTTCGGCCTTACTGGAATGTAACAGAGTTGCTGCAGTAAACTCAGCTTGGCATCTGAGAGTCAAGCTAGGTTCCTTCTGTTTCATGTAATTACCAAAGATTCTGCACCTCAAATTCTGCCCTTGGTTACAGGTAAGACACTTAACTGCCTCCACAGAAGCTGCTGCCATATAGGGAGAACAGAATTTAGCCCATAATTGGAGATTCTGTTTATGATTCATGAGCCAGAATAGAACCCAGCTCCCTCTCCCATGGTTATGTCATCTCTGCACCGCTAATAGGAGTGAAGTAGTTAAAACCTAGTTGCTATAAACAGACAATCTGACTGAGCGGTGGCTCATGAGTATGAAGGGGTCATTTTTACACAGTTGCTTTGAAGAGTAGAGCCACAGTTTGATAATCTAGGACCAAGGCATTTCCAGGAGTGTCTCAGGTCTATGCCCAGCCAAGGTACTTGACATCCCATAGCATCCTTGAGAAAGGCCCAGTACTAACAATGCCAGCCAGCTCGCACATAGCACTTTTCAGCAGTAGATCTCAAAGCACTTTACAAAGGAAGTCAGTATCATTATCAATTCCCTCCCCCCATTGCCTCTCTAAGGGTAGGGCGGGGGTGACGTTTGAAAAACAAGTACAGAAGCGTATTGCAATGCACCAACCATTCACTGAATGGACCCCATCTCTCAAAGCACCACAGTGCAACACACAGAGTCAGACAGAGTTGGGAGACCCAGTGCATGTTCCCCTCCCACAGCTCTGCCAATGCCCTGGTGGGAGTCTGACTGAGCTAGCAAGCCCTGTGCATGCTCCCACACTTCCTCTCCAACTCTGCCAATTCACCACAGCATCCCCATCTCTTCCATTCCTGAGCAAACTGTCCACGACAACAAATAACATGATGCTCTCAACTGCAGGCTGCTTCCCTCCCGATTCCAGTCACCTGTCAGGCCCACAGGGCAGTGACCCGCATGGGGAGCAGTCCAGAGCAACACTCACTGAGCTTGTGCTTCAGTTGATCCACCTCTCGCCTCACACACTCATATTCGCGCCACAGGAGCTTTTTGCTAAAATGAAAGAGAGAGAGGGTTACCCCCTGGGGAAAGGTTTCAGAGTGGCAGCAAAAACAACAAGGAGTCCTTGTGGCACCTTAGAGACTAACAAATTTATTAACAAAGGAAGCAACAGCCTTAATTTCCCATGACCCACACGGCTGTAAAGCCCCAGAGCTGACCTCTCATGCACCTCCTGCATGACGCTGGAGCTGGGATACGGATCCGGGGTGCAATCTCCATCCGGCTGGTGAAACACTTGCTGTCGCAAGTTACGAAGCTCGCTCTTCAGCCCTTCCATTCTCCGCCCCAGCAGGGACTCCAAGCCACTCTGAGGGCTGTTATGCAATCGACCAACCTCCTCTGCAACAGCAAGCAAAACAACAGAAAATGGTTAGGCTTCAGCCTGCAACGGGAAGGGTGGGGTTGAATAATACACAGTACAATGGTCTCAAAAGTCAGTTCACTGCTGATGTATGGCACTGGACTGAGCACGCAGGGGGGCCTCTGCTGATCCCCTGACATGGTACAGCAAAATCGGTACCAGTTCCAGAGCTCCCTTCACCACTCTGCCAGCACACTCCAGGGGCATGAGGGGAGTCCGGTCTTCATGGCGTACTCTGAACAAGTGATACTCTTGGATAGAACCCGTGAGAGATGTAAACCAAGAGTTCCAACATCTGAGCCAACAACCTACAAGCATCTGTACCAACAGATGTAAAGGTTGTATTCTGTAAGGCTTAGAGCAAAGGACTATGAGTTGGGACACCAGGTTTCTACTCTAGGTTTGAGCTCTATGTATTCAGCAGAATAGCGAACTGGACTGTGCCCCATTGGGGCGCTGCACTCACAGCCTGTTGTCTCATCAACAGGATCCCAAACAGTCAGATGAGGAGCAATCTCTGAACATCCCAGAATGACTGCAAAGCCAAGTGATTCATCAATACCTTCCAGATTATGGATCTGCTGTTGCTGGAGCTCCTTCTCTTGCTTCAGTCGATTTACTGACTGGGTGAGAGACTCAATGACCTGGGGGGAAGAGCAGGATGAGAACAAGTCTCATACGGAAATAATTGAGTGCAGGGAAGAACTCAGTTGTCTTGTGCAAGTCAGTTCAGTTTCAGAAGCTGGGAATGCTGTGGGGCACCTCAAGACTGACTCTAAAAGCAACCACACTCGGCTGAGCAGGATAGAGGGGCTTCCAAGGAATCTCCTATGACCCTCCTCTTGGAAGGATAAAGGCTGTGATCAGGGGCAGGGAGAAGATTCAGTGCTCAAAGGGATACAGGGGACCTGACAGAGAGGAAAGGAAAGTTAGTGATCCTGGGAAGTTACTTTGCTTTAAAGAACAAGTGAAGTGTCCCTGCAGCTTCAGCCATGTGCTGGCAGGAATCAGGGGTGCTGCAGAGGCAACACACTCTCAAGCAGGGTGATGGGGAGAGAAAGGAACACCTCAAATCTTCATGTGGAGACCTTTCCAGCTGTCTCAAAGAGCAATATCCACTGGCTCAACAGGGACAGGCTTTTCCCATCGTGTGACAAACAGAGGATCCCCACAGTCCAGGGCATCCAGTGTAAGAAGTGTGTATTTTCAGCTCACTAGTGAAACCTGTCTCTTTCCCCTTAGTAGAGAGGCTAATGTCATCGGCACTCTGGAGTTACCTTAGCTTGCGAATGCAGCTGACTGCTGATGGTTGCAAGCTCCTCTGTTGCCATCCTGCAGTGTGGAAGACTTAGGCAGGTAGGACACGGTTGCCGAGATCCAGCCAGAGACTCATCAAATGCAACCTTCTCAGTGTTTATTCTGTCCAGCAGCAAATCCACTAAGAGATCAAAAGTAACAGGAGTTACAAGGGCTGCAGGGAAGGGAACCCACTTGTTTACCACACTGTTAGACTTGCCTCAGCTAGTGCCAAGACAAGGAACTTGGAAAAGGCCAAACTGAAGTTTTCAAAAGCAGAAACTAGATTCTTTCTTATTTCTGCTTAAATTATACAATCACGTGGAGTCATTAGAACAGGCAGGTCTGCCCACCCTGGAACCACTGTACGGATAACCAATAAGAGGGGCTTGAAATGGCCATTGCATTGCTACATGGGTACAGAAGTTGCCTGGATTTTAACCCCAAGGCATCAACAGCTTTTACAAAACAAAAATAAAGACAAGAATAATCATCCATTTGAGACACAGCAACAACACCACATGATTGTACAATGCAATGGATATTCCTATAGAACCTCAATGCTATGGTAGCAAGTGCTTTTCGAAATGCTTGAGACAAACAGGTTGTTACCTTTGGAAGAGATGCTGATTGTGTTCAGACGCTGCTGTAATAGAGAAAGAGAAACCAGATTAAGTGGTAAAGACACTAAAGGACAGGGAAAGTTACACACACAGGAAGGAGTGGTAGGGTGCTTCACACGGCTTTCCACAGTGGATCTGTCTTCAGATAGAAGGAGGATGGGGTGTTAACACCAGAGGACAGGTTAGGAAATGCCCTCATGTTCTCAATGACGACTTCTCAAATCAACTAAATTGCAACAACAGTGATGAAGAGTGAACAGAGAAACAGAAGGGTGAAGTATGTGGGGCAAATCCAGAAGGGAAAGTAGTTGAAACAGGAATGAATTCAGGGAGGTCCTATGGTCTGTGTTATACAGGAAGTCGGACTAGATTTCACAGTGGTCCCTTCTGACTTTTAAATCTATGAAAAATGTTTGCAAAAGACATGTTTTTAATTATGTGAAACAATTACCATATTAGGTACATAAGGATAGTCACAGAACTTGGAAAAATCTAACAGCATTCCTAGAGGTCTGTATGATCTCTAGCCAGACTGAACTGCAGTGTAAGTGGGTCCCTTCCCCTGTGGCTGATTAATTAGGAACAGCACCAGTAGCTTTAAAACAACCATGTATCTCTAGCACCCTCTATAGCCCATAATCTCCCATTTTATAGATGGGGAGAACTGAGGAAGAGACTAGTTCAGGGGCTTGTCGAAACAGTAAATTGGGGCAGAGGCGGGAACAGAACTCAGCAATCCCAAAGCACAATTCCCCACTCTAAGCATTAGACCACTCTCCCCCAATGTTATTGCTGCCTTCTCTATAACACAGCCATCTTCCCTGGCTCTAACGATAAAATAATACATCTCAGAGCTGCACATCATACTACCCACAAATTGGCTCCCTTTCATGCCAATCCACGCTTTTATGGGGTGGATATCGCAGGAAGGTCTGACAAAACCCGAGGTATTCATCTGCTGGTCTTTAAAGAAAACCACTTGTATCTATCCAAAAGAGCACACCCCTTCCTCTGAACTGTTATATAATAAAGGTTCTGCAGGGCTGACAGAATAATCCTGGCTCAACAAAAGATCCAACTTTCTTGGGGAAGTCAAGAGAATCTTTCTTCACTGAAGGGACAAAAACAAACTGCACAGAGGACCTTGAGGACGTAATTTCCGTAAGTATCTGCAGTAAACACAGAGATGGATTTTATTTTGGCAAAGAGGCCTGGATTGTGATGTTTGCAAATAGTGGATACCCATCCAGTTCTAGAAGTTGCTTATTACAAGGAATTAGGTGATTCCTCTCAGTCCAGTGCCCAATCCATGTTGCATTCCCATTTCATCCCTTTTCTCTTCTAGGGCCTTGAATCACCCTGAGGAATCGCTCCCGACTCCTGAGCATTTACATCCTTGAAATATTTGCAGAAGCATTTCCATTTTCATCCCTTCTAGGGACACTGGAGCCTTGATACCTCCAGTCTAGTACCGAAAAAGACCTGCGTGAAAGTCATTTTTCAGTTGAATCCAACCATCAATGTGCAACATTCAACCAGTCTCTAGAGGACAGGGAGCTCTACAACAGTTACAATACTAGCCAAAAGGAGAATTTGTGACAACTTAGAGACTAACAAATTTATTCCTTTTCTTTTTGAGGATACAGACTAACATGGCTGCTACTCTGAAACCTAATACGAGCCAAAGCAGCTACAGAAACCAGTCCTGGTGACTTCACCTACAGCAACGTTACCAACATAGTTCAAGGAACCAAGGGATCCAGCACTTGTTTAAATAGGACTTGCCTGGAGTGAGAGTCTAAGCCACAAGAAAGAGATGACAATGCAGCTGAACTTGCCTTTATTTTAGCCACATTGCTGTCTGTTGCAGTCAATATGGAGTTGAGCTGTGTATCCCAGTTCATGTGGCTGGTAGGCAGATGCTTTTAACTGTTTACCAATGACAAAGTAACCTAGAATCAGACCTTGGTGTATAAAGCTGAGGGATAGAGCAGAGCCCAACGCGGTGAAGATAGCTGGATTGACCTGTAAAACCACCAGCATAGAGATTTTTCTCCCTATACAGTCTATGCTCCTATTACAGTTAAAATAAATATACATGTATGGTAAGAGAAATAAATGGGAGGATACAGGACTGAGGGCAAAGTGCAGGGTCTAGAAATCCTGAGACTCCTACATAATTCACACCCAGAATGGATTTCATAAACTAGGCCTGATGGAAGCTCACTGGTACTGGGACAGGGCAGTACAGAGCCCAGGGCAGAAGCAGACTTCCGTACGGACCATCTCCTAGGGCCAAGCACAGCACCCTGCCATAGCGCTGGCGATGCAGTAAAATACACCCCATCCGCTTTCTCTGAGCCTTAAGCGGACTCTGGGGCAGGGTCATGCCCTGTCCTCAAAGAAGGGTGAAGGAGGTAGGGATAGCCCAGGGCTCCCACCAGCTAAATCTGCCAGACAGTTCCAGGGTGTTTTGGGTGGGGGGTGGGTCAGCCCCCCCACCATGAGGTGTGAGGTCTCAGAAGGGTCTGGGGAGGTGCTGGGGGGAGGAGGTATGGCAGAGGCATGTGGGGGGCTCTGGAGAGGCATGCAGAGGGGCTGGCAGAGGGGCCTGGTGGATGGGTGGGGTGATGGGAGGTATCAACAGGGTGGAGTGGAGAGCGTGGTGGAGGGTCAGGGTAGGGTTCTCTGGTGAGGTGTTGGGGGGCCTGGCAGAGGGCAGGTGAGAGGGGGCTCCAGGGAGGCGTTGGGGGGCCTGGCAACGGGGTGGGGAGAGGGGGCTCCTGGGAGGCGTTGGAGGGCCTGGTGGAGGAGAAGGGTCAGGGGGCTCCGGGGAGGCGTTGGGGGGCTTGGCGGAGAGGGGGTTCTGGGGAGGCATTGGGGGGCCAGGCAGATGGGCAGGGTGAGGGAGCTCCGAGGAAGTGTTGGGGGGCTTGCAAATGGGGGGGCAGGGGTTCCAGAGAGGCGTTGGGGGGCTTGGCAGAGGGGTCGGGTGAGAGAGCTCCGGGGAGGTGTTGGGGGCCCTGGCAGACGGGCAGGGAGAGGGGGCTCCGGGGAGGCGTTGTGGGGCCCGGCGGACAGGCTGGGAGAGGGGGCTCTGGGGCGGTGTTGGGGGGCCTGGCCGATGGGCAGGGAGAGGGGGCCCCGGGGAGGCATTGGGGGGCCTGGAGGAGGAGAGGGAACTCCGGGGAGGTGTTCGGGGCCCTAGGAGAGGGGCGGGGTCAGGGGCTCCGGGGAGGTGTTGGGGGGGCCTGGCGGAGGGGTGGGGCCCCAGGGAGATGTGGGGACCGGGGGGGCCCGGGGAGGCATCGGGGGGCCTGGCGGAGCGGCGGGGCCCCAGGGGGCCTGGTGGCGGGGCCGGGCCCCAGGAGGCGTTGGGGGGGCCTGGCAGAGGGGTGGGGAGCCCCAGGGGGATGTGGGGCAGGGGCCCTGGGGAGGTGTCAGGGAGCTTGGCAGAGGTGTTGGGGGGGGGGGGGGCTGGCGGAGGGGCACGGCCCCAGGGATATGTAGGGCAGGGTGGGGGGGCCCAGGGAGGCATAGGGGGGCCTGGCATAGGGGCAGGGCGGGGGGTCTGGCTGAGGGGGGGGGCATGGGGAGGCGTTGGGGGGGCCTGATGGAGGGGCGGGGTCCCCAGGTAGATGTGGGGCGGGGTCCCCAGGGAGGTGTCAGGGAGCTTGGCAGACGCGTTGGGGGGGGGGGTCTGGCGGAGGGGCGGGGCCACGGGGAGATGTGGGGCAGGGCAGGGGGCCCCGGGGAGGCGTGGGGGGGCCTGGCAGAGGGGCGGGGGGCCTCGGGGAGCCTGGCGGAGGGGCGGGGCCAGGGGAGGCGTTGGGGGGGCCTGGCGGAGGGGCGGGGCGTGGGGCCCCGGGGGAATGCGAGGCGGGGGGCCCCGGGGGCCTGGCGGAGGGGCGGGGCCAGGGGAGGCGTTGGGGGGGCCTGGCGGAGGGGCAGGGGGCCCCGGGGGCCTCAGCGGCGGCCCCGGGGGTCTCTGCGGGAACGCGGCCTAGCGAGCAGGTCTCGGGTCCCAGCGGCGAGACCGGGCTCGGGCCGAGCTGGGAGGCGCGGGGCGGGGGTCCCTACTACCGGTGCCACAGGCTCCCGGGCCCGGCGCGCGGCTCCGACGCCCCCACGCCCCTTGGGGGCTGCCTCGCTCCCTCCGAGGTTTCAAACCGCGCCCAGCCGCCGTCACCGCACCCCCCTGCCCCGGCGCCTGCTGGGGGATGGAGTCCGCCCTGCCCCCCCGGCCCAGAGAGACACGGCCTCAGGACTACACTTCCCAGCAGCCATGGCGGGCAGGCCGGCCTACAATCCCATCGTGCCCCGCGGCGTCTGAAAAGCGGCCTACCTCTCCCGTCATGCCCCGCGCGCGGTCGCGGCGTCCGGGCGGCGGGCCGCTCCCAAGACGCACCGCGCGCAGCCGCCGGAGGAGGCGAGCGTTGCCCGCGTGCAGCCGCGGCGTGGTGGGGAAGGACTTTCTTTCCCATGATTCTCCGCGCGCGCAGCCATGGCGGACGGGAGACTACATCTCCCGTGGTGCCCCGCGCGATGGGCAGCATGGAGCCCGGTGTGGCTGCGCTGGAGAGGCGGGTCCGCGGTTGCCTGTGCGACTTCGGCTTCGAGCTTTCTCCCTTCCAGGTATGCGCCGCGTGGCGGGGGGGGGAGGCTGCTATGGCCACCAGGCTCCCTGGGTGGTGCCCACGTGGCCCGCACAGCCTCGTAGTCTGTGACATCATGCAGTTGTCACCGTGACGCCATATGGGCACCGCGACATCATGCAGGGGCACCGTGACGCCATATGGGCTCTGTGACATCATGCAGGGGCACCGTGACGCCGTGTGGGCACCGCGACATCATGCAGTTGTCACCGTGACGCCGTATGGGCACCGCGACATCATGCAGTTGTCACCGTGACGCCGTGTGGGCACCGCGACATCATGCAGTTGTCACCGTGACGCCGTGTGGGCACCGTGACGCCGTGTGGGCACCGCGACATCATGCAGTTGTCACCGTGACGCCGTGTGGGCACCGCGACATCATGCAGGGGCACCGTGACGCCATATGGGCTCTGTGACATCATGCAGGGGCACCGTGACGCCGTGTGGGCACCGCGACATCATGCAGGGGCACCGTGACGCCATATGGGCTCTGTGACATCATGCAGTTGTCACCGTGACGCCATATGGGCACCGCGACATCATGCAGGGGCACCGTGACGCCATATGGGCTCTGTGACATCATGCAGTTGTCACCGTGACGCCGTGTGGGCACCGCGACATCATGCAGTTGTCACCGTGACGCCGTGTGGGCACCGCGACATCATGCAGTTGTCACCGTGACGCCGTGTGGGCACCGCGACATCATGCAGTTGTCACATGTCACCGTGACGCCGTGTGGGCACCGCGACGTCATGCAGTTGTACGTGCTGTGGGCACCGCGACATCATGCAGTTGTCACCGTGACGCCGTATGGGCACCGCGAGGGCGTCATGCAGTTGTCACCGTGACGCCACCGCGACGCGCACCGTGGGCACCGCGACGTCATGCAGTTGTCACCGTGACGCCGTATGGGCACCGCGACGTCATGCAGTTGTCACCGTGACGCCGTGTGGGCACCGCGACGTCATGCAGTTGTCACCGTGACGCCGTATGGGCACCGCCGTGTGGGCACCGCGACATCATGCAGGGGTCACCGTGACGCGTATGGGCACCGCGACATCATGCAGTTGTCACCGTGACGCCGTATGGGCACCGCAACATCATGCAGTTGTCACCGTGACGCCATATGGGCACCGCGACATCATGCAGGGGCACCGTGACGCCATATGGGCTCTGTGACATCATGCAGTTGTCACCGTGACGCCGTGTGGGCACCGCGACATCATGCAGTTGTCACCGTGACGCCGTGTGGGCACCGCGACATCATGCAGTTGTCACCGTGACGCCGTATGGGCACCGCACTCATGCAGTTGCACCGTGCATATGGGCACCGCGACATCATGCAGTTGTCACCGTGACGCCGTGGGCACCGCCATGCAGTTGCACCGTGACGCCGTGTGGGCACCGCGACATCATGCAGTTGTCACCGTGACGCCGTGTGGGCACCGCGACGTCATGCAGTTGTCACCGTGACGCCGTGTGGGCACCGCGACGTCATGCAGTTGTCACCGTGACGCCGTGTGGGCACCGCGACGTCATGCAGTTGTCACCGTGACGCCGTGTGGGCACCGCGACGTCATGCAGTTGTCACCGTGACGCCGTATGGGCACCGCGACATCATGCAGGGGCACCGTGACGCGATATGGGCACCGCGACATCATGCAGTTGTCACCGTGACGCCGTATGGGCACCGCAACATCATGCAGTTGTCACCGTGACGCCGTGTGGGCACCGCGACATCATGCAGTTGTCACCGTGACGCCATGTGGGCACCGCGACATCATGCAGTTGTCACCGTGACGCCATGTGGGCACCGCGACATCATGCAGTTGTCACCGTGACGCCATGTGGGCACCGCGACATCATGCAGGGGCACCGTGACGCCATATGGGCACCGCGACATCATGCAGTTGTCACCGTGACGCCGTGTGGGCACCGCGACATCATGCAGTTGTCACCGTGACATTACATTTCCACATCAGCCACCTTGTGTGATGACAGGGGGCCGCCAGGCCGGTAATCAACTCGGGCTCCTCCCTGGTGCTGCAGGCGCTTTGGGGTGAAGGGTCCCGGATGTATTCCAGACGTGGTGGTATCATTGGCAGTTGCCATTGGGGAAAACGGTGGCTGTCCAGTGGATTTGGGGACAAGTGGGCCACAGGGATCCCACACATGTTTTCTCCCCCCGCAGGCTGTATTCTGAAGTATAGTATGTTGGTGACCGTTTATGGAAAGTACGTGGTCTAATTCCTTCTTCACTCAGGCCAGGTGCTGGAAAAGGTGGCATTGAAGTGATGAGCAAGAAGTGGTAGGCTCTCACCCAGAAATCTTTGTGTACTCCTGAGTCTGTAACTCTTCCTGAATTACATTTTGCTGGCCAGGACATCCAGACATGAACTGAGTTTGCCCCATATCTTGCTGCTTGTTATCCCTTCACTTATTCCCATTGATTATTTTCATCTCATTTCTGCTGTCACATTGTTTGGATCACCTGGGAAAATGAAGTGCCCAGTCTCCTTCAAAACTGGCATGAGTGCCTTTCTATAAAGGCCTGATCCTGTGAGAAGCTGGGTGCCTCTTGAAAGCTGTGTCGGTCCTTTGACTCCCAATGATATCAGTCCTACCATAGTGTAGTAGCAACCTGTCCCCTGGAGTATCTCTGAGAGCTCCAAAGTGTATTGCATCTCCATCCTTTCAGATTATTTCCAAAACTGCCATGTTGTTCTGCAGAGTGCATCATGGGACAGCATTTTATTTGTGGCAGTTGATACTGGAGGGCTTCTGAGAAAGGCCAAGTGTAATTTTTAAAATATGTGGGAGGAAACATTTCTCCATGTATGTTGTGAAATGCATAATCTTGTTGAAAATATAAGGAAAGAAACAGGGAAACTAGCAACTGAAACATTCAGAGAAGTTGGCTGGAGAACAGCAAGAGCAGGAGATAAATGGTGGAGGAAAGCATGAGAAAGGATTGCATGAATTCACAGATGAGCTGCACAAAATGATACTAAACAGAAAATTGACTTCTGTTGAGATTAACATCAAACTGTATTGTCTTGAAAGTTAAATATTGACAATAGTCAGGAAACTGACTACTGTAGAAGTAAAGTTTTTATTGTCCTGAGAATTGAATATTAACCCAGGCAAAGGTGAAACTAAGATTTGCCCCCACAGTCAGTGAATGTTGATCTTCACAGAGAGACAAAGTCCTTACGTGCCCAGGTACGTACATTCTGAAAGCCTTCATCAGAAATCTTCCCACTGAAACTGTGAATTTCTTAAATGAAGCTTTTTTGTAAACTAACATTTTCGGAGCGATGAAGTTAGGTGACTGACAAATAAGACTATTGTTGACTGCTGACAAACCAATCTGTTAGGAAAATCTTTAACTTGTAAATTGAGCTAGTAAGATGTGGGGATAAATGTGGAATGTCAGGACAGACAAGGTGGGTGCATAATATCTTTTATTAGTCCCACTGCTGTTGGTGAAAGAAACAAGTTCACTTCAGTTAAAATGCTACCAGGTGCAGTTCAACAGCTGAATGATTTACTGGCTAGGAGAGTGTTTCTGTCTTGCTATTTGCAGTGTTCTGTTCTTGCTAGGCAGTTTCGCCTCCTGGACTGAAAAAAGAATAGGAGGTAGGAACTCTTTAGATCTAATTTTGGTTCTTTTACTGATGTGGTCACATCACTTGACTTCCCCAGGCCTCAGTTTAACTGTGAAATGGGGATGATAATTGCTTCTCTTCCTGCGGTGGTGCAAGGATTAATGACTGTTTCTGTGCACTCAGAAGCATGTTGTAATGCATTGCATAAATGCTAGCGATTATACTTCCATTGGTTTTTCATGTTGCTGACTATTTAAGGCAGGGGTGGGCAAACTACAGCCTGGGAGTGTTTTAATCCGGCCCTTGAACTCCCGCCGGGGAGCAGGATTCAGGGCTTGCCCCGGTCCACACGGCTCCCGGAAGCAGTGGCGTGTCCCTCCTCCAGCTCCTACACGTAGGGGCAGCCAAGGGGTTCTGCATGCTGCTCCTGCCCCAAGTGCAGCCCCCATAGCTCCCGTTGGCCGGGAACTGAGACCAATGGGAGCTGCAGGGGCGGCACCTGCGGACAAGGCAGCACACAGAGCCTCCTGGCCGTGGCTCTGTGTAGGAGCCAGAGGGGGAACATGCCGCTTCTTCTGGGAGCTGCTTGAGGTAAGCACTGCCCGGAGCCTGCACCCCTGACCCCCTCTTGAACCCCAACCCCCTGCCCCAACCCTGATCCTCCTCCTGCCCTCTAAAACCTCCCCGGAGCACCCTCCTGCACCCCCAACCCCTCATCTCCACCCCTACCCCAGAGCCCGCACCCCCAGCCAGAGCCCTCACCCCCTTCTGTACTCCAACCCCCAATTTCTTTAGCATTCATGGCCTGCCATACAATTTCCATACCCAGATGTGGTCCTTGTACCAAAAAGTTTGCCCACCCCTGATTTAAGGGCACCTCCTGAAATGTGCTGAGTGCCTTTGAGGGGGCACTTCACGTCCTTAGCTTGCACTGGCTTCAGTAGGATGACTACACATGGACCCAGTCCCGCTTCCAGTAAAGCCAACGGAAAGAATCCTGCTGACTTCAGTGGGCACTGAAGCCTTTCTGTGGGGGTACTGATGGGGGCCCATATCTATGAAGAGACAGTAGATGGCGTTGCCTCACCAGGCTTTTAGCATTGAGTGGAAGAAATAGCTCTTCTCTTCTATCCCTGCAGCTAGAGTCAAAGGGACTGCTCCTGTAGATAAAGCTCATCATATGTTTGTAGGTCCTGGGCCTGACAGAATGCAGGAAATTGCACCTGGTGCTGTATATCACAATTTTTCTAGGGAACTTGGAGACCTTCCTTTGACAGAAAATAAATACATACCCATCCCTATCCCTACAGTCTTTTGCTTGGCACCTGCCCAGGAGTAATGATCTGCACATTGGAACTTACAGATGCCTACA